TTTATTTTATTTTAAAATCGGGCCTACTAATGACCACACAGATTAAGCAAGTTTATTTTGCTTTTTCACCAATAAAAAATGTCACAAACATCATTTTACTCAACTCCTTGAAACAGACAAGAGACGTTTCAATATTCTCACCACTAGAGGGCGTCGAGAGCAAGAAAAAAAACATTTATTTTTTTAGTGTCTAAAATTTCCTCCCTGCTGCTCATACAGACATGGGAGTGAAACGGTGTTCCTGCAGCAGGACCAGTCAGCTTCCTGTCTGTCACAGATGTGCATCAGTGACTCGTGTTCAGCTGCTGATGAAAAGGTCTGCTCTCAAACACAGGACCCAGGGGAGACCGTCTCAGTGACTCATCCTAATTAAAAGGCAGGAGGACACACTCCTGCTGCTGCTGGGAAACTGAATGGAAGCTGTAAAAAACAATCCACTTCAATTAAGCCTCAGTTTTTTTTCTGTCACTCCAGTTGAGTAACAACTGATGTGTATTATCATCACTTTGATTATTTCCATTCATAACATCCAGAATTTTGCAGCAATTGTCAGTCTTGCTTTTATAAACCACTGCATAAACAATAGAAGTGTTTGATGGTATTCTTCCCTGCAGCGATATTTAAAAGTCATCTTTCAGTCATGTCATCTTTTCATTAGTGTCTGCTGATGTTGCAAGTGTGTGTAGGTGTGTGTGTGTGGTATTCTGTACCTCCATCCTGAGCACTGAGGACGTTGAGAGCAAATAGCATGGCATTGGAGAAGGTGGTGGCCTCCTCCTTACTGGCAAAGTTGAGGCCATAGACCTGCCTGGCGTCCCTCCATTGGTGGAAGGTCGGCGTGGCTTGGTTGTACTTCAGACCCTTCACTATGGAGTAATTTATAACCACCTGTGAGACATGAAGGACAAAGGGCATGGGACAGAAGCAGGGATTAGTGGTTTTTTAATGGTTTCTGTTCTGAATCAGAGTGAAAAACTTAAAAAGAACCTGAGAACAATCCAGAGTGATAACATCTATGTTTGTCGTCTGTGAGAGTTTAAAAACTGACTTCATGACCTGAACAAGGAGGTGTGGATCTTGTAATTTGTTAGGWTGTTCGCTGATACTGTACTATAAATAGTTTTTAGCTGTGTATGTTTAAAAGTAGCTGAATTATAGTCCTTTGTAAAAATTAGCATTAGGATTAGTGGTTAGCTTAATACMCAGAATGTGACCAATCTTAGCTACTGCACAACATATTTCATCTCAATTAGTCATAAAATGGCTGAAATGTAGCCGTCTAAAAAGTTAGCTGTGGTGGCCATCTTGAATTTTTGATTAGAAGTTAGAATTTGTTTTGAATTGTTTTTGGATGCTTCTACACTAATTTTCAGCTTTGTTTGTCTGAATAAGTTATGACTAGCATTTAGCATGTTTTTATATGGATCATTTCTAGCTATAATCACACAAACTTTCAGCTCAATTTTTCTTTAAAAATCTGAATTAAAGTCATTTGGCCACTTTGAATGTTTAAATCCAGAGTGCTTTTCCTTTATTTTTTTTTGTATGTGCCCCCAACCCAAAAAATAAATAAATAAAATAAAAAAAACCTTGTCCAACCCTGTGCCTCCCCTTGCAAAAAAGTCTAGCTCCGCCCCTGAAATCATCACAGGGTTAAACCAGTTTCCATAAAAAAGGTGTTTTTTAAAATTATTTCCTGACAAATCATCAAAGCCAAAGGAGAATGTCACATCCTGTTCTCCGTGTTACCTGCTGGTCCTGCAGTTTGACCCCCACCACCCGGAAGGTGTTGCTGGTAGTGTTGTGGTAGATGTTGATGCGGCTGAATCCCTGCTGGCCCGGTTTGATGGGAACCCACTTCTTGCTGGTGTCATCGTAGACCATGACGGAGGCCCGCGCCTGGCAGATACTCTGCTCACTGACAGGGAACAGAAAAAGAAGACTTGAGTCGATGGATCACCATGACGTCGTTACATCAGCTCGTAAGGAGGAAATTGTGTTTAGATCCACTCTTTTACCCACAGTTCATCTCTGTACCTTTTCAGTTTGTCATTTTCTACACTGATGTTCAGGATCTTGATAGAAACCACAAAAACAGAAAAACTGACTCGCCTTAAACAAAAATTTATAAAGTTGCTAAAAAAATAATAATTACAGCTCCTAAAATACTTTTTACTATCTAAAAACCTGTGAAGTGCCAAATTGAATGTGTTAATAAATATAATTATTTTACATTTTCAAGTTGTTCAAGGAAAACACTGAGCAGCAGTCACATTTAAAGATTAATGTGGCTCCATATTAAATATGTTCAGGCTTTTAAAATGAATGAGTGGAACTCCAGAAGTTCAATTGAGAAGGTTTGAGAACCAAGAAATGTTTGATTAATCGGACTGAACGTCTCAGATCTTATTTGAGTGCTACGACTTCACGTGTGCAGTGACTGCAGTATGATGCAACATTTTCACTGAGGAAGGAAATCCCAGCAAAAAGAACAAAATGGTAACCAGAAAGCTTAAGAAGGTGGAAAAGTTAAAGGACTTCAAGAAGGTGTTTGCTCTGGTTGTAAAATATATTGATTTAAAAAAGACAGGTGAGTGAAGCATGCAGCGAGTGAGTCCTGCATCTTTGTGTGAGTCCTTTAACTGTGTGTGAGTCCTGTATCTGTGTGTGAGTCCTGCATCTGTGTGTGAGTCCTGTATCTGTGTGTGAGTCCTGTATCTGTGTGTGAGTCCTGTATCTGTGTGTGAGTCCTGTATCTGTGTGTGAGTCCTGCATCTTTGTGTGAGTCCTTTAACTGTGTGTGAGTCCTGCATCTTTGTGTGAGACCTGCATCTGTGTGTGAGTCCTGCATCTGTGTGTGAGTCCTGCATCCTTGTGCGAGTCATGCATCCTTGTGTGAGTCCTGCATCTTTGTGTGAGTCCTGCATCCTTGTGTGAGTCCTGCATCCTTGTGCGAGTCCTGCATCCTTGTGCGAGTCCTGCATCCTTGTGTGATTCCTGCATCCTTGTGCGAGTCCTGCATCTTTGTGTGAGTCCTGCATCTTTGTGTGAGTCCTGCATCCTTGTGTGAGTCCTGCATCCTTGTGCGAGTCCTGCATCCTTGTGCGAGTCCTGCATCCTTGTGTGATTCCTGCATCCTTGTGTGAGTCCTGCATCCTTGTGCGAGTCCTGCATCTTTGTGTGAGTCCTGCATCTGTGTGTGAGTCCTGCATCTGTGTGTGAGTCCTGCATCTGTGTGTGAGTCCTGCATCTGTGTGTGAGTCCTGCATCTGT